TTCACACACACACACACACACATATATATATATATTGATTGATTGACTCGTTTTTACTCTTCATTTTGTTTTGTTATCACTTCTTTGCTATTATGTCATTACTTTGTGAGGTGAGGTGGTACATTACGTTCTCGAATAAATTGCGCGTGTTATATATGGGACCCCATTAGAGAAAATCAATGAAAATAATTCAAAGAGTTCAAGACCATATTATAAATTTTTTTTTTCATTTTTACTTTGCATATTATTATTTTCTTAAAACATCATAATAAATGCACAAAATGTGTTATATATGAATAAAAAAAGAAATATTTTTGGTATAATATGTTAAAAATAATAAGTTAAAATTGTTTTTTTATTTGAATTCTTTCAAATGAGTACCTTTATTGAGGTCTTACGCATGGTATGTGTCATGTATTCAAGAGTGTAACATGCTAACTCAACTAACAAACTAACAACATCTTAATGGAGGAACGATAATAAAATAAAATGAAGAGTAAAGAGACTCAATCAATACAAAAAATAATACAAAATCTCAATTAAGACAATATTTCGAAAAATACAAGGACCATATATGGACAAAATCCAATAATTTTCTTATCAAAATTAATTACTTTGAAAAAATGATGATGATGATGATTATTACTATACTTAATTAATAAAAATATTTTTTTTATTTATGAATATTAATTATTTTAGGCAAATTAGAATTTTATCATAATTTAAGTTTTAATTTTTTTATCCATTTGGGAAAAAAAATATTTTTTTTGTTTGTTTTTAATTTTTTTTATCGCAAAATCATTCATAAATTCTGCTTTACAAAAAAAAAAATTAAATTTTTTTTGTTTGTTTTTAATTTTTTTTATCGCAAAATCATTCATAAATTCTGCTTTACAAAAAAAAAAATAATAAATTTACAGTCACAATTTGTTTTTTTATAAAATAAAATACTTTTGTAACCTCATAATGGTCAAATCGTTCACAAACGAAATTTGACCCATTTCTTAAGAAATGCAGTGACAAATCAAGCGTTTTTTTTTTTTTAGTGCTTATTCTTAGAAAAGTCCTAATAAAACGGCAAAATAAAACAGGAATTTTTTCTGATGCTCTCTTAGCAACCCTTCTTTTCATTATAAAAGCTGCGATTGACGACTGTCTTGGAAGTTTTCCCTGTTATTCGAGAATAACAGGATTCGGATTCCATTATGTAGTTCTTAGAACAGTATGAAATGAAGATGAAGTGTCATTTTCACGATAAAAAAAGCTTTTTCACGAACTTTTCACAGTGTACTTTTCCTTAATTTGATTCGATTCTCAAACATTATTGATTCTGCATGAACATGCATGCCTCTTCCTTAACTGTTATAATAACATAAAGCCCAAAAAAAAAAAAAAAAATTAACAATAACAATTTTTTTCCTTAATGGGCCCAATTACACCTTGCCCTGAAAAACTGGAAAGTGGGCTTAATTTGATAAGACCCGTTTAGCATGTCCAGCACCTGAATTCAACCTTATCTTATGTTATAACTGGATATTATCTTATGGTTTGCAATCTGTAAAAGTTTAACAATAAGTTTGGACTTAAATTTCTAATTATTTCCTAAGACTTTATCACGTTATTTCTTAAAGAATTTTGGATTTTTTTTTTTATTTGCTTGCAAACACTGAGAATGTAGTTCATGTTTAATTCCAAAATATGGGAACATTGATTTATTTGAAATTAAATTATTGGTAATATATATAGTGTATCATAACCTATTCATTTAATTTATATAATTCCATTCAACTAGTAGGTGCTTCCGCCTTATGTAGCTTGTTTATTATGAAATCCTTTACGAAGTAAATGATCATGCCCCACAATTCATCGTCGTCTTCGTTGTTTTTTATAGTAGATATTCTGTTGGTTCTTCAGTGGCATGGCATGTGAATTATGATCAAAATACAAAAAGTTCAATTTAATGTATTACATTTTTTTAATAAAGGTATTTACACATGGAAAAAAAAGTGTGCTTTGAACATACCACTCTTTGAACATTGCTTACACCTGCATTTCTAAAATACAGATATAATTTTGGTATGCCGATTTCTGAAGTAGATTCACTAGTAGTACGTAAGATAAAACATTAACACAGCATGCAGAATTCTTCAACGTTACTAATAATTTCACTCTGATCCCACAGCACTAATCTTATTTCGCTGCTATCGTTGCTTTAATGAATCTCTTGTTGTTTTCCTATATATGTATCAATGAAAATTGTGACTTCAATTACTAACAAAGACAGCAATTAATTTTTAGTAAATAAAAAAAGGACTCCAATTGAAGAACCTCAAATTAAAATAGGAAAAAAAAAACCTCAATACTACATCTATTATAAATATTTCAATTAAAAAATTTCTGAATAAAAGAAAAATCACCATGATAAATCTATAATATTGATTTTTTTATCATTAAAACAAATAATTTCATGATTCATCCATATGTCACCACTAATTAAAGAAATAACCACTGGATGATTTGACTTTTTTTAACGAATGAATGTAGTATAAGTTAGAATTTATAAGTTAAAAGTTAAAAGTTTTAACTTTTGATTAAAGTAAAATTTTGACTCAATTCTATAACCACTTTTGATTTAAATTAAAATTTATTTTTTACAAAATACGCTTATGACTTTTCTATGAGTTAAAAGTTTTTTTTAAAAAATTAAATCAATTTGCAAAAATCTTACCAAAGATAACTTTAAACTACCTACGTCATGTAACAAAAAACATACAAAATTCTACCATGCAAAAATATAAATCCTATGCTAGTTAAAATGCTTTATCAAGCATTAACATAAAAACAATTTACCCAATCTATTATCCATTGCTACCAAACAAATGTTCAAAAATTGTGCGAGCATCGATGCAATAAGCATAAGAAACCAACCCAACTTTCCTCTTTGTTTTCATAAAAAACACTCATATGAGAATTCGTCTCGCGTAGATTAATGAGTTATTTGTCAGATGGGTTGACCACATTTCTCAAATAACTAGCTTCCTCACGATTTATTTGAAAACTAAAATGAAATAAAAACAAAACGTCATTTTCAGTGCCCAAGATAATAGATTTGGTATATATTACGCAAGAATGCCGAAAGTAGGAGAACATTCTCTCTGATTTCAATTCAACAAAAACTATCTTTAAAGTCATAAAAGAGTAGCTTAAATATTAGTTCCTAAAATGCAGCTAATGTTTATTAAAAAAAAAAAAAAAACCCAAGCCATATTTGGCTAAACACCTAAAACGCTAAATCAATTGGACTTATTAACTTAAGTCCAATTTGAAATAAACAAATATTAAAAAAAATTAATAACCTAATTGTACTTAATAACTTAAAAGCTCGATCCAACTTAATAAATACATCCAAATAAAAATAAACAATTCACATCCAATAAGGATGATTTAAAATATCAAAACAAGAAATAAAATAGATTAAATAAGCTTGAATATTTTGACCCCGATAGACTAGAAATATTCAGCCCAAGTATGCAACTTCGAGCTTGAACTTTCGGCCAAAAAAGTATTAAACATAATCAACCCTCTAACAACCACCTCGAGTCTACGAGCATGGAGTGATAAGGATGAGAATTGAAGTGATAAGGCGAGTTGACCAAGATGTGGTTTTCCTTCCTAAAATAGAAGAAGCATGAAGAATAATTCAAGGAGTCTTGTTGGAATCCAATCACCGCATAATGGGAAATCGATGGAGCAATCTACTCCTTTAAAATAGCTATGTAACGAGTATTAATATAGGCATGACAACCTCGTGCAAATTTACTACTTTATTTGTAACCTTCCTTCTATGTTTTAGTTGTAAAGTCTATATATGAGATATCAATGAGGACTCTCTTCTCACGTTTTTGAATGAGAAGCTTTCTTACAAATATTCTTTTTTCTTTATGGTATCGAGCCACTTGTGAGATAAGAGAGTTCTAATTTTCCTTTTTATCAATGGCTTCCACAATTTCCCTAAATGTTGCCAATTTCGTTACCCTCAAACTCACACCGGAAAACTACCCTCTATGGCGTGAACGGATGCTCGCCTTAGCCGAAAGTCAAGACATGGTTGGGCTTCTCACGGGAGAGAAAATAAAACCCGCCATGTACACCAAAGTCATAACGGAAAAGACATCAACAAGTGAAGAAACGGAAAAAACAATCTCGGAAGATTTTCTCAAATGGAAAAAGGAAGATCGTCTCCTACGTGGATGGATCATTGGGACACTTACAAAAGAAACTTTGGGTCCGGTTATTGGCCTTGACTCATCTCAATCGGTTTGGAATGCTTTGAAGGAAGCATATGCCCAAGACTCCCAAGAACAAGAATTTACTCTCCGACAACAACTCACATACCTCAAAAAGGAACCAAGTCAATCCTTAGCAGAGCACTTGAGAAAATTCAAAAGTATATGTGACAACCTAGCAGCCATAGGCAACCCTATACCCGACAAAACAAAAGTTTATTCTTTACTTGCAAATCTCGGCCCAAAATATGAATCTTTCACAACAACAATGCTTAAACCTCTAATGCCATCTTACTCGAAGTTGTATCACTCTTCCGGGGCTTTGAACAACGAAATTCATGGATTGAAGCATCAAACTCTTCATCATATGTGTTCTATGGACAACGCAACCAAAGCCGACAGCGACAGAAATTACAATAATCGCAGATCTCAAAACAATCAATTCACATCAAAAGGAAGAGGATTTCATGCTACAAATAATAGGTTTCAATATTCCAATTTTGCGGGTAATAATTCGGGATCCCAAAGGAATAATAATCATGTTCCTCGACCACCACCACACGGTAAACGACGAATGACCACTACGAGAGAGAGATGTACAAGAATGAATATCGCCGACTTTGTGGAAAGGAAGGACATATAGCCAAAATCTGCTGGAGTCTACCGGAACAATCAAGCAATGACGAACTTCCTCAAGCACTTGCGGCTCTTACCATGGACACCTCAATTGCCGATATAGAATGGACAATCGATATCGGTGCTTCGAATCATATGACTCGCAAATTCGGGTATGCTTTCTAATCTTAAAAAATATATTGGGTGTGATTCCGTATTTATTGGCGATGGTTCTCCTTTGAAGATTGATGCAATTGGGGATACATTAATTTCGATGGTAAGAATGAATTAATGTTACGTGATGTTTTGTTAGTCCCACAATTAACAAGGAACTTACTCTCCATTAGTCAATTAACAACATAATACCCCTTGAATTGTGAACTTACCGATGAGCTATTTTGTGTTAAGGAACAAGCAACGGGCGAACCCTACTAGTGGGTCGGCGTAAAGGAGATCTTTATGTTCTATCCAAGATGAAGGAAGCGAATTTCTCCAATAGGCAAAACTCGGGATCGGAGGAGTTATGGCACCAACGTCTTGGACATCCACAAAGCTCGCCATCAAGATTTTGCGAACAAAGAAGTTAATCGATGTTAATTTAAAAAAAAAAGTTGATACTCTTTGTGAAAGTTGTCAACCGGGAAAACTTAGCAAGTTATCGTTTCGTTCATCTAGTTCTATTAGTACCGATATTTTTGAGAAAATTCATTGTGACATTTAGGGACCAGCTCCTATTTTATCTCTTGGAAAATTTCGATTCTATGCATGCTTTGTTGATGATTATTCTCATTATATGTGGCTAATTCCTCTTCGTGCTAAATCTGAATTTTTTGATGTTTACCCGGCATTTGAAAATTATGTGCGACGACAATTTAATGAGAAAATCAAAATTTTTCATACCGATGGAGGAGGAGAGTTTACAAATAAAAGACTTGAATCTCATTTTCAGCAACAAGGGATCATTCATCATCTCTCATGTCCTTATACTCCCGAACGGACGAGGATTATTGAACGTCGCCATCGCACTATTAGAGAACTCGGGATGACTATGATTTTTCATAGTAATGTGCCTAAGTTTCTATGGGTTGAAGCTTTTGCTACAGCAGTATTTTTAATTAATCATTTGCCATCTTCTTCACTAGCATCCGATACTCCTTATTTTCATTTATATGGTTCTCACCCAAAATATTTGTTTTTACGTGTGTTTGGATCTAGATGCTATCCGTATACTTGGAGTACGAAAAGAAATAAATTTGATGCTAAAACTGTTCCTTGTATTTTTGTAGGTTACAGTAACCAATATAAAGGGTATCACTGTCTTGATCCAAAAACACATAGAATGTTTGTTTCGAGACATGTGGTGTTTGATGAAAATAATTTCCCTTGTAGAAAGAAAGAAAATCTACCCTTTTCACCCACTCGTTTCACTGAATTTTTGGATACTTTCCCATCTTTATCTACGGTTCAAATTCCAATCCCACCGAGTGGATGCATCTTCACCTATCCCATCGCCATGCAATTACTTGAATGAATCTTCTATTACACATGATTTAGTAGTCGAAGATGTTACATTTGATTCCTCTTCAAATTGTGATCATGACCACTCTCCTATACCTCGACGAACCGATCGTTACGGAATCTTTGACACATCATGATAATTCATTGGATACAACACCTCCATCTCCCGAAGTCGCCATCATACTTGACACGGGTAGTTCCTCATCCATTTCTTCTCCTTTAAATTCTAACTCTCCTTTACATGTTGAACGAGTTCAACCAAGCATCTCATCCTATGGTCACTAGAGCTCAACATGGCATATACAAACCCAATCCACGTTATGCTCTAATTCTTGAACGTGGTGATATTCCTAATGAACCACATAGTGTCAAAATCGCTCTACAACATGATGGTTGGAAACAAGCCATGCTTGAGGAACTTGATGCACTCGCATAAAAATCAAACATGGACCTTGGTACCCCGAGAACGTCATATGAATGTCGTGGGCTTAAAATGGGTGTTTAAAGCTAAATTGAATGCCAACGGTACTCTTGATAGGCTCAAAGCCGAGTTAGTCGCAAAAGGGTATCATCAAGTTGATGGCATCGACTATACGAAACTTTTTCTCCGGTTATTAAACCGAGTACAATTTGTTTAGTCCTTAGTCTAGCCTTAGTTCAACAATGGGAAATTAGACAACTCGATGTCAAAAATGCCTTTCTTTATGGTTTCATAAGTGAAGATATTTTTATGGAACAACCACCTGGTATGCATGATTCACTCTTTCCCTCTCATGTTTGCAAACTTCAAAAAGCTCTTTATGGTCTTAAACAAGCACCACGAGCTTGGTTTGATCGATTTAGCTCTTTTTTTGCTTGAACATGGTTTCTCTTGTAGTTTGGCTGATCCATCACTTTTTATTTTGCACTCATCACTTGGTATATTAATTTTACTACTCTATGTTGATGACATGCTTTTGACAGGATCCAATTCGAGGTTACTTAATGATTTTGTTCACCTCTTGCACTCACAATTTGCAATGAAAGACCTTGGCCCCATACACCATTTCCTTGGGATTGAAATTCAGCAGCGTAACAATTCTCTACATCTTTCTCGGGCTCACTATGCTTATTCAATTCTTGATAAAGCACAAATGCTTGATTGCAAACCTATGAATACGCCAATGTAGTCTAAAACTAAAGGACTTAATGATGACATACCTTATCCGGATCCTTCCTTTTATCGTACCATTGTTGGTGCCCTACAATACCCGACACTTACAAGACTCGACCTTTCTTTTTGTGTCAATTATGTTTCCCAATTTATGCAATCACCATCTCTTGCTAGCATGAAAATGGTTCGTCGCATTTTAAGATATGTCAAAGGCTCAATTCATTTTGGTTTACATTTAACCGGTGATACTACACTTGATCGGATGTAGATTGGGCGAGTCGTCCAACTACACGAAGATCAACAACTGGTTTTTGTACATTTTTAGGGCAAAATATTATATCATGGTGTGCCAAGAAACAACCAACCGTTTCTCGATCAAGTATCGAGGCCGAGTATCGTGCTATGGCCAACACCGCCGCAGAATTAACTTGGCTTACATATCTCTTACGTGATCTTCATGTTCCTCAATCACAACCACCAATTCTATTTTATGACAATTTAAGTGCGTTACATATGACTATTAATCCCGTTTTTCATGCTCGAAGTAAGCACATTGCATTGGACTACCATTTTGTCCGTGAAAGGGTCTCAATGGGACTTCTTACTACTCGACACGTTTCTTCTTCTCTACAAATTACGGATGTCTTTACTAAGCCACCGTGCAAGGTCGCCTTAAGTCACTTCCGCAACAAACTTTGCCTTCGACCTCGGCATAGTTTGAGAGAGGGTATTAAACATAATCAACCCTCTAACAACCACCTCGAGTCTACGACATGGAGTGATAAGGATGAGAATTGGAGTGATAAGGCGATTGACCAAGATGTGGTTTTCCTTCCTAAAATAGAAGAAGCGTGAAGAATAATTCAAGGAGTCTTGTTGGAATCCAATCAATGCATAATGGGAAATCGGTCGAGCAATCTACTCCTTTAAAATAGCTATGTAACATCATTAATATAGGCATGACAACTCGTACAAATTTACTACTTTATTTGTAACCTTCCTTCTATGTTTTAGTTGTAAAGTCTATATATGAGATATCAATGAGGACTCTCTTCTCACTTTTTTGAATGAGAAGCTTTCTTACAAATATTCTTTTTTCTTTAAAAAGAATGTACGACTTTTGACCGGAAAAAAACGTGGGACTTTCTACCAAGTTATGAAGTCACTTTATTATCTTGAGTTTCCCTACGACTTTGCTATGTTTTTTGTTTCGAGGGTATTTATTTGAGTACTAAAAAACCTTATGTTCTTTTCGTTATATGTTGCATCATTTGGTATGAGAGAAAGATTGACCCAACTAGTGGACAAAGTGATAGCAACCATCCTAGTGACACATATCAAGAGATGTAGGCCATCCGAGCCACTATGCAAGCCGAGAAGGTGGCATCAATATATGTAGAAAACATGCATGATCATCATTTTGAGCAATTTAGTAGGAGTTTTGTAAGGATTCAAGAAGATCCTAGTATCTTGATGTTAGAAGTTAATATGTATCATGATTAAAAGAAGTGTCACGCCACGAAGGAGCTTGCATTCAACCTATTCGTAGTTGGTTTTCTTCATTTGACGAACTTTTTTATGAAGACTATACTAAGAGCAAATATGAAAGGTTTAATTATGAGTCCAATAAATTTCAATTGGAGATTGATGTTGCAACTTGTATTGCAAAATAAAAAAGACAAGCTTTAAAATAGAGAAATGATAGGAAAAATGATCCCATCTAATATTAAATGTAACTTAAAAACCTAAATAACTCCTCTACTTAGAGATTATAGATAAGTGGTTGCTTACATAGAGGAAAGATAACAATCACCCTTCAAGGTCCTAACTCGTTGTAGATTTTAGTGCTCGCAAATTTGAATATTATTCATGGTTTTTATTATGTTGAATAACTATGTCTTATTGGATGCATTTGTCATTAAATTTAAATCTAATCTATCGAGTGATTTAAAACTTAGCCAATCAAAAGTCTTATTATCACCGTGAAATAGGTGAGTACTAAATCGAGAAAAGTCTAATCAAATAACCGAAAGGGATTTGAAAAACCTTTCCACATAAAAGAAATCTCAATGTAAAAACTCATAAAGCGAGAAACCAAAAGTTATAGTTTTGAAAGGATAACTTAAAAAGATGCGAAATCAATAGTCACGATGTCAAAGGAAAAAAATCAAATGAAAGCTCAAGAAAAATGATTTAAAATGATGAAACTCACATTTTGTGGTTTTAAAATGATGCGGACTCGTATGCCACAATTTCTCCGAGAAAAACATAAAAAACAATTTAAAACAATGCAAACTCTTATGCCATTATTTTAAAATGTTACACTCATATTTAATTATTTTCTTTGGAAAACTTAGGAAAGATGATTTAAAACAACACAAACACGCATTCCATGATTTAAAATGATGCGGACTCATATGTCATAATTTTTTTTATAGAAAAACTCAAGGTAAAAATTTTTAAATAATATGGACTAATCTACTAGGATTTTAAAATGATATAAACTCATATGCATGATTTTTTTCAAGAAAACTCAAGGAAAATAATTTAAATGTTGTAGACTCATATGCCATAGTTTTAAAAAATACGGACTCGTATGCCGTAATTTTCTCATGAACACTAAAAAATTGATTTAAAATACATGTAGATTTGTATGCCTTGGTTTTGAAATGACATGGATTTATGTGCTATGATTTTTTTATAAAAACTCAAACCAAGTTGAAAGTGACCCAAAAATCAATTTTATAACTCATTCGTCAATTGAAAAAAAAAAAAACCAAAAATAGCTCATCATTTTCTTAAAATTTGTCAATGAAAAATCAAACCAAAGATGAATACACACATTATCGTCACAAAATTCATTGTCAAGAATGAAGCTAAAGGCGATAACTTAAATCATTTTCATAGAACTTGTTAACAAAAAATCCATGTCGAAAACAATCAACACATTATTTGTACAATATTTGTCAACAAGAAAAATCATGCCGATAATAGTATTTTAATTTATTTGATTTACATCATACTTTTCAAATAGTCAATCAACATTATTATTTACGAAAGATCATATCAACGATCAATTCACAACTCAATCACACACAAGCAATCCTATAATGAAATTCACATCGGGATCGACACTCATTTCGGATAATCCTTGAAATTAAATCCATCCCTTCCTTCTAACTCGTTGCGGAGTATTGATTCCATCCTTAATTCTAAACATATATGAAGATCTAAAATCCCTCGAATTTGAAATGTTTCAACGATATCACAACACTTCAAATTATTTTCACAATCAATCAAAATGATATAGAAGTTTAAAATAATTCTTAAAATGATATAAGAAGTCGAAACATATCCAAACAATCATAAAAAAATGACTAAAATATCCTAGACAAGCCCTAAAAAATACTGATTTATCCTTAGATATATAAAATTACAAAAATACCCTTAGCACATGTGAATCACGCATCACTTCGATTTATGAAAACTACCATTGTGAGAGGTTTTGTTTCAACTTAAGTCCGATCATTTTTTGACCACCTTTTGTTGCATGCTTAGTCTAGTCAAGCTGGTAGGCGTCCTCGTCAACCCTTTGATGAAGGATGTGTCAAACACGGCTAGGCTGTAGAGGGAAGATTGGTAGTTATGAGCTTTGATTTTTTTCCTTTTCTCCAATAAACTTGGTTAAATTGATAAACTTCAAAACTTAAAACCGAGTCTTAATCAGTTCCTAAGACCTTGTCTTGGTTTATGTAACGAGTTGGCCTCGGGATATCCCATTATCCGTAAATATAAAACGAAAAAAAAAGTGGTGAAACAACTATAGCAGAGAGATCTTAGCTTTTGGTTATAATGCTAAGAATGGTCTACATACTATTCAAAATAGAGAAAATGATTTATTTATTTATTAACGAGGGATAAAGAGTGGGGTATTTATGGGATCCTTTAGGTCACCACACTTAATCCACTACTTTTTAGACTAGGCTAGCATTACAACTCACCTATACTTTTTTCAACCACTAAGTCGTCGTCTAGGCCAATCGAGCCCAAAGCTGGTACTAGTAAAAAATGATTATGACTAAAAATATGTAGATAATGAGAATTAAACTTGATCTTAGCCAATTCAAAGCAA